CGCTGTCCCCAGCCCCGGGGCCAGGAGGAGCGTGGCTGCCTGCGCTGCACGCCGCTCAGTGCCACAGGCTGGCCGGGTAGGGGGTCTGGGGCTGCAGAGCAGGCCTCTTCAGTGGCCTCCTCCCTCGCCACCGCCACCATCCCCGTGCTGCTGCCCGTGCGGAGGGGCTAGGGTGGAACGGCACCTCCTTTCTTCTCTGACTGGTGCCTTAAGGGTCCAGGATGCGGACCTGACAAAAGATCCAGGGAGAGGGGCTGAGGCCAGGCCAACTGGGCGCGTTCTCGCTAGGGCCTGCGCCTTTTTCCGGCAACAGCGGTTTTCCTTCACCTCTTCTTTCCCTCCTTGGTTGGACCCCCAGCCCGCAAGCTGGGCACCCAGTTTCCCTTGGGTTTGGTCACGGAGCGGGCATCGCCGAGCCCTGCCTGCCACGACACTGCTCTGCTGCCCTTGTGGTCTAGGGTTGGCCTCACTGCGTGCTGTCCCTACGCCCCCGCCCCTCCCTCCCTAAGGCTGCAGCTGTCCTTGGGGGTGCCGCTCCCCCTCATTCAGGCCCTGGGCTGCCAGGGGGGATCGGGTCCCTCTGCACCTCCCTTTCCAAGTAGCCCCCACATCTGGGGGGCAGCTGCACAGGGCCCCCGTTTTGGCTGGACTTCTGTCTGTGAGTGAACGGCTGCGAAGGCAACACAGCTTGGCTTTGTGTTGGGGACTGCCGGCCAGGCCTGCGGGCCAAGGAGGCAGCTGGGGCGAGGAGGGGGCCTTGATACTCCAGAGCTCTGGCCAGGGCTCAGGGCGGCAGGGCCACTTGGGTGTCCCCCCATGATTGTTCTCCCCTTGCCTTTCCCCTCCCCTACATCAGGTGGGAGTCTGTGGCCTGGGGGTTCTCCAGGGTGGCTCTTATGGGGACCTGGGTTCCGGCAGCGCCTCCTGCCCTGCCTCTCGGAGCATCTGGCTCTGCTGCCCCCTTGGGTGTGGCCCGGCTGGGGGGAATCCACCCTGGCTCCTGGACAGCACTACGTGGGGGCGGGTTGATTACTGGCCCTGGGGCGGGCCCCTCCTGTCTCCTAGCCACGGTCACCAGCTGCGGCTGTGGTGTGCAGGTGGGTGCGTGGCCCCCGTCCCCATGGCCGGGTGGGGCAGGACCCTCTGACCCCCAGTCCTGTCTCTCAGGCCTTCGCGAGAGCACCAGCTGACCATGGTGCCTGCCTGCCTCCTCCTGCTCCCCCTCCTCGCCATGGAGGGGGCCGGGGGCAGCAGGAGGCCCTTCCGCGCCTTCACGGTGACCGACACCACGCTCACCCACCTGGCCATGCACCGGGTGACTGGAGAGGTGTTTGTGGGCGCAGTGAACCGCGTCTTCAAGTTGGCCCCCAACCTGACAGAGCTGCGAGTGCACGTCACAGGCCCCGTCGAGGACAACGCCCGCTGCTACCCGCCACCCAGCATGCGGGTGTGCGCCCACCGCCTGGCCCCCGTGGACAATGTCAACAAACTCCTGCTCATCGACTACGCCGCGCGGCGCCTCGTGGCCTGTGGCAGCATCTGGCAGGGCATCTGCCAGTTCCTGCGGCTGGATGACCTGTCCAAGCTGGGCGAGCCGCACCGCCGCAAGGAGCACTACCTGTCGGGGGCTCAGGAGCCGGACTCCATGGCTGGCGTCATCGTGGAGCAGGGCCAGGGGCCCAGCAAGCTGTTCGTGGGCACCGCAGTCGACGGCAAGTCCGAGTACTTCCCCACCCTGAGTTCCCGCAAGCTCCTGGGCGATGAAGACAGTGCTGACATGTTCAGTCTGGTGGGTGAGCCGTTCCCTGGCACCGTCTTCTCATCACGCACCCTGCTCAGGACGCCAGCCTCCCGCTCCGCTTTCCCTCACAGAGGCCTGTTGGGGGAGGGATGCGCTGGCTGGGCGGCCCCGGGCAGGGGCACCTGTGACTGCGGGGGTGGTGGTGGTGGTGGTGGTTGGAGCAGGGCCGGTGCGCGGGCTGAGTGGGGTGCAGGGCCCGGGGCTCACGGGCCTCAGCCCGCACCCTCTTGTCACCCACAGGTGTACCAGGACGAGTTTGTCTCCTCCCAGATCAAGATCCCCTCCGACACACTGTCCTTGTACCCCGCCTTTGACATCTACTACGTCTACGGCTTTGTGAGCGCCTCCTTCGTGTACTTCCTGACCTTGCAGCTGGACACCCAGCAGACCCTCCTAGACGCCGCTGGCGAGAAGTTCTTCACCTCCAAGATTGTGCGCATGTGCGCGGGGGACTCAGAATTCTACTCCTATGTCGAGTTCCCCATTGGCTGCTCCTGGCGCGGTGTGGAGTACCGCCTGGTGCAGAGCGCCCACCTGGCCAAGCCGGGCCTGCTGCTGGCGCAGGCGCTGGGTGTCCCCGCTGACGAGGACGTCCTCTTCACCGTCTTCTCCCAGGGCCAGAAGAACCGGGCCAGCCCGCCCCGGCAGACCGTGCTCTGCCTGTTCACCCTCAGCGACATCAACGCTCACATCCGCCGGCGCATCCAATCCTGCTACCGGGGGGAGGGCACGCTGGCCCTGCCGTGGCTTCTGAACAAGGAGCTGCCCTGCATCAACACCGTGAGCCCTTGCCACCCAGCTGGCTGGCGGCATGGCCAGCAGCCGCCGCACCGCCGGGCCCGGCGGGGCCTTTGGAGGGCACCCCTGCTTTTCCTTGCAGTCCCCCCTCCCATGCTCTCTGCTCTTCGCCCTGGCCTGCTGTCTCTAGCTCACTCCTCCTCACTCCATGGCATGGCCAGCCCCTGCGTCCCGAGTCCCCAGTCCCCCAGTGTGTCCTCCTCCCTGCCTCACAGGTCCAGTCCCCCAGGGCACCCCCTCCCCGGCTCTCCCTTCTAACTCCCCGTTCAGCCACCGAGTTGCCATGGTGGCCCAGGGAAGGCTGTCAGGCCTAGCTGGGGACACTGCGTTCCAGCCCCTGCTCTCACCCGGCACATAGGGGCTGAGCCAGCGGGTGCGTGCTGCCCGCTGCCCGGGCTCACATGCTCCCCCTCTGCCTCCCCAGCCCATGCAGATCAACGGGAACTTCTGTGGGCTGGTCTTGAACCAGCCGCTGGGCGGCCTGCATGTGATCGAGGGGCTGCCTCTGCTGGCCGACGGCACTGAGGGCATGGCCAGCGTGGCTGCCTACACCTACCACCAGCACTCAGTGGTTTTCATCGGCACGCGCAGTGGCAATCTAAAGAAGGTGGGCCTGCAGCTGCTTGGCATGTGGGACCAAGGGAGTGGAGCAGGAGCCAGAAGAGTGGACTGGGCACAGCTGGTGGCGGAAGGGAGACCTCCATGGGGTGGCCCCACAGCCACCCAACTCTCAAGGCTCTGGGGATAAAGGTCTTTAGCCCCAGACTTGTGAGCAGGTGGGATCAGCCGTGCCTCTGCAGGGCCGCCCCGTTTTGTTGGGTAACAGCTTTTTCAAGCTATGACTCATCTGCTGTAAATCCACCCACTGAAGGCGTTGCAACCACTGTCACATTCTAAAAGGAAACCACCCTTTAGCCAATCGCTCCTCAGTCCGGCACCCACTCATCTCCCTTCGGCCTCTGCACCTCCTGGGACCCCTTTACTTGCTCATCGTGGCATCCTTGAGGGCCTCCAGCAAGGTGGCCTTGGTTCTTTCTCCCCTGGCTGTGGGGACCAGGTGGGATGGCCAAGTTCTGAGCCTCCAGCTACGGGCCCTGACCTCAGCTTGGCCATGCCCTTAAAGTCCTTGATTTGAGAAGATGCCCTGACCGCCCGGGGACTGCAGTGCATCAGGCCAGCCCGTCACCCCTGTGCCCTGACCTTGTGGCCCAGGTGCGGGTTGATGGCTCCCAAGACGCCCACCTCTATGAGACGGTCCCTGTGGTCGATGGCAGCCCCATCCTTCGAGACCTGCTCTTCAGCCCTGACCGACAGTACATCTACCTCCTGAGTGAGAAGCAGGTGTGCGCGCAGTGGGCCGTGGGGGGGTGGGGGGCAGGCCTGGCTAGTGCTGACGCGGGTGTCCCCAGGTCAGCCAGCTCCCAGTGGAGACCTGTGAGCAGTACCTGAACTGTGAGGCTTGCCTGGGCTCCGGAGACCCACACTGTGGTTGGTGTGTGCTGCAGCACAGGTGAGGGTCCCAGGCAGCGGCCAGGAGGGCGGCTCCCGGGAGACGGGACGCCCCTCCAGCCTGGGGCGGGCACTTCCCTCCTGCCTCCGTTCCATGTTTACCCCTCCCCCCATCTCCAGCTAATGAGCGGAACCTCTACCTCCAGTGACACCCCCCGGGACCCAGGGGCAGAGGTCTGGCCTGCTGCTGCCTGGCAGCTTGGGCTGGACCGGCCGCCCCGTCCCCCCACTGTGCCCCTGGCCAGGGCCCTCCTGGGGCAGTTGTGGGACGGCTCTGGCTCCTGTGCAGATGCTGCCGCCAAAGGGCCTGCCCAGGGGCCTCTACCCCGCACGGCTTTGCTGAGGAGTTGAGCAAATGTGTCCAGGTGCGTGTTCGGCCCAACAATGTGTCGGTGACATCGTTGGGGGTGCAGGTAGGTGGTGGGGCGGGAGCACAGGCCCTGGGGGGCTGTGCTCCAGGGAGGGTGCTCCTGGCCGCGCCCACTCCCCGGCTCTGAGCCCTCTGACCCCACAGCTGACTGTAGCCATGCGCAACGTGCCGGACCTCAGCGCGGGCGTCAGCTGTGCCTTTGACGAGGTGACCGAGAGCGAGGCCCTCCTGCTGCCCTCTGACGAGCTGCGCTGCCCCTCGCCCTCCCTCCAGGAGCTCCGGGCGCTCACCAGGGGGCACGGTCAGTGGGCTGCGCCTGCCGGGGGTGGGGCCCCTTGTGTGTCCCGTGCTCACAGCCCCTGGCTTGCTGCAGGGGCCACCCGCACCGTGCGGCTGCAGCTGCTCTCCAAGGAGACCGGCGTGCGGTTTGCTGGGGCTGACCTTGTCTTCTACAACTGCAGCGTTCTCCAGTCGTGAGTGCCTGCTCTTGCCCCTAGGCCATGTGGACGGCGGCCTGAAGGGACCTTGGGGAGGGGCGGCGAGGGGGGTGGTCCCCATGCCCTGTTATTTCTGAAGCCTGCTCCCCCGTCAGGTGCATGTCCTGCGTCGGCAGCCCTTACCCCTGCCACTGGTGTAAGTACCGCCACGTGTGCACCAGCCACCCCCGAGAGTGCTCCTTCCTGGAGGGCAGGGTCCGCAGCCCTGAGGTAGGCAGGCCACGGGGGGTGGGGGGGTGGGCAACCAGCTGTGCCGCCTTTGATCTCGGTGAGCCCCCACCTTTCTGCTGGGTGGTGGCCAGAGCCCCTCGCTTGTGAGTGATGGGTGTCCTTCTCAGGGCTGCCCGGAGATCCTGCCCAGTGGGGACCTGCTGATCCCGGTCGGCGTCATGCAGCCTCTCACCCTGCGGGCTAAGAACCTGCCGCAGCCGCAGTCGGGCCAGAAGAACTACGAGTGTGTGGTCCGCGTGCAGGGCCGGCAGCAGCGCGTGCCCGCCGTGCGCTTCAACAGCACCAGCCTGCAGTGTCAGAACGCATCGGTGAGGGGGCGCTGTCGGCAGGGCGCGCGGGCGCCGTGGCAGGCCCAGGCCTGCAGCCTCCTGAGTCTCCTGCCGGGGACTCCTGGTGGCCGGGGGGTGGGGGGGCGTATGCCGAATGTGAAGGCACGCGGGCCCCCTCTTCCCCAGTACTCTTATGAAGGCGATGAGTATGGTGACACTGAGCTGGACTTCTCAGTGGTCTGGGATGGAGACCTGCCCATCGACAAGCCCTCCAGCTTCCGAGGTGAGGGTGGGGTGGGGACTGCAGCCTGCCCCAAGGCGGTGCCTGCCCTGCCACCCACCCAGCAGCGCCCCTGTTGCCCGCAGCCCTCCTCTACAAGTGCTGGGCGCAGCGCTCTAGCTGCGGCCTCTGCCTCAAGGCCGACCCCCGCTTCAACTGTGGCTGGTGCGTCTCTGAGCACAAGTGCCAGCTGCGCACGCACTGTCCGGCCCCCAAGACCAACTGGATGCACCCGAGCCAGCGGAGTCCCCGCTGCAGCCACCCACGCATCACACAGGTCTGCCCGCCGCCG